AAATTAATTATTAATAAATTAATTATTAATAAATTAATTATTAATAAATTAATTATTAATAAATTAATTATTAATAAATTAATTATTAATAATTTAAATTACTGTATTTATTTTTATATCTCATAATACATATTTTAACAAATACCTTTGTAAATTATTAGCTGGTAAATAATAAGAATCATAAATTTTAAAATCGTTTTCATGAATGCATATAATAAATACATACATTTAAAAATACATATGTTGAATTATAGCAAGTATGTATAAGCTATTTTTTATATATATATAAAATTATTGGCAATTTTAAAATATGCATTTAACAAATATTTTAACAAATGCCTCTGTCAAATTTTTAGAGGGTAAGTATAAGATTTATTGTAATTATTAAAAATTTTAAAATACGCAGTCAGCAAATATTCTAACAATTACCTGTCAAAATTATTAGCTTGTAAGTTTAATTTGTTTTAAAATTGTTATTTGGTTTTAAAATATGCTATTTATAAATTTATGATACACATTTTTTCTGTCAAATTATTAGAATGTAAGTATAAACTTTGATAGTTGTTTTTAAAATTTTACTTGATTTATATTATGTTAATTATTATTTTATAATATATATATTTTCTTTTATTAAATTATTAGATGGTAAATATAAATATTATAAAAAAAAAAAAAACTATTTATTACCCAAAAGATTTTTTTTTGCTTTTTAAAAAATGCACTTTAGCATTTTATTTTACGTATATAACAGAGTTATGTAAAATTTTGCAAAAAAATTTTATTGCACCAGATTTTGCAAATAAAATCTTATTTTGGGTAGTAAATAAATTACTAATATAACTATTTTAAAGTTATTATTATCTTAATAAATATATTTTAACAAATATTCTGTTGAATTATTAGCCAGTAAGTATAGGCTTTTTATGTTTATTTTTAAGATATTTTTGATTTTAAAATATATATTTAAAAAATGCTTTAACAAATGCCTTTGTCAAATTATTAGCCGGTAAGTATAAGCTATATTATATTTTATTTAATATTATTAACGATTTTAAAATATAAACCTAATAAATATTTAATAATTGTATATCAGCTTGTAAGTATAAATTTTACGTATTATATTAGTTTAAAATTAGTAATAATTTTAAAATATGTGTTTGACGAATATTTTAATAAATGCCTTTGCCAAATTATTAGAAAGTAAGTATAATTTTATTATATTTTTTAAAAATTATTAATAATCTTAAAATACGATTCTGTTAAATTATTAGGCTGTAAGTATAATTTTTTTTAAAATTATTGGTGGTTTTAGAATATGATATAACAAATATTTTATTATATATTAAATTATTAGGGGGTAAGTATAAGCTTTACTGTATTTATTTTAAAATTATTGGCGATTTTGAAATATGTTTTTTTTTTAAATTATCAGAGCGTAAGTATAAGTTTTACGTATTACATTTATTTTAAAATTATAGTAGGTTTAAAATATCTTTGTTTAATTATTAGAGGGTAAGTATAAGTTTTATAATATTTGTTTTTAAAATTATTAATGATTTTAAAATATAAATCTGGCAACCATCTTACTAAATGCTTTTCAAATTATTAGCAAGTAAGTAAAGTATAACTTTATATATTTGTTTATAATTTTTATTTGGTTTTTAAATTATATATTTTTATATTCTTTATATCTAACAATTTATTTTAACAAATATCCAAATTAAATTATCGGTAAACATAAACATGATAATTATGGTTTTATAATTTTTCATAATGCATTTTATTAATTTAATAGTACATACTGTCAGCCTGAAGAGTTGTATTCCACTTGAAATTTCCCAAAGAATTATTCCAAGGCTATAGACGCCAGATTTCATATCATGTTTATATTTGTGGTTAACAAAACATTCATTTATTTGTTTGGATACTTCAATATATGCAATCTTGGGTTGTTTTTGATGAATTAAGATTTTCTGCAAATGCTGAAATTAAAGTTTAGTAATTAGAGTATTGGTAAATTAGTAAATAAAAATCGGGCAAAATATGAACAATATTATTATCGTGTAAGAATAAAAGTCCGATTGCTATTTCCTTAGCGATACTTAGTTTATCAATCCATTGTAATTTTGTAAAATTTCTTTTAGGTATTCGCGTAAAGTTTCTTCATTAGTATATTGTAAAACCATATTATAATTTCCGTCACTGTCTACATGTCAATTGGATGAACATCAGCATTATTATTTGACATCTACTTCTGAAGAATCGTTTTAAAGGAGTATTGCAGAAGAACATATTAATTATTTTGAATATAATAAATTTTCAGATCCCATTGTGATCGGCATTGAAAGTTTTTAAATGCGAATGGAGGGATAGTGAATAAATAATTGTTCTTAAATGCCTTAGAATAGATACAAGCATAGATGAAAAAACCATCAAAAATTATATTAATGAGATATCATTTTTTATATTGAAAAATTTAATTGAATCCTATATAGAATAATGAATTATTTATTAAATTCATATAATTAGTTTAAACTACTACGCAAAATTTGTTAACATCCAAATATTATTACGTTCTATGGGATCACGAAAGGTAGACAAGAGATTTGTAATTTTTGATTTGCATCTTTAGGTAGTGTAGAAATATTTTCGAGAGTCATACTTCGCCAGCCATTAGAAGTCGAAAAAACCAAGCTCTCTGAAGATGCCAAAGAGTTTACATTTTCAGATCGTAAAGAAATATTTTCAAGAAGCTTACTTTGTTGGCCATTATCTTTCGAATGAATTAGGTCTTCTGAGTATGTTGAGGTTTTGGAGAGTAACTGCTTAATTTGTTTATCACCATCAATAACATTTTTATGAATTGTATAGTTTTTCTTTTGATAACACTTCGAGTTCGGGCAGAACAAAGTTCAATGGTGAACGCTGATCCGGTTCAAAGGACCGGCATTTTTTGTAAAGATTGACGTAATTTGGAGGTGTGCCAGTAATAATTTTTCCCTTTCATTATTTGAAATTTTAAAAATTATCTCTAGATTATCAAGTCCATTAAATGATGTGACTCCACTTGTAAGTTCCCAAAACAGTACACCTAAACTATAGATGTCTTACTTTTTATCTTATTGAACTTTTTTACCACGCTGAAAAACACTGATTCAATATATGTTAAATCTGTTATCAAGGCCTTGTTATCATGTATCAATATATTTATTGAATGATAGAAATTTTATATAAAAATTTTATTAAGTTATACAGGAATAAAAGTACAGTATAAGGCAAAAGGAAATAAACTAACTGATCTCTATGAATTATATCTTTACTATGTAAATTATCTAATCCATTTGTAATTCTATTGCAATCCGGATAAGTTCAGACCATAATATTTCATAAATGCCTTCTATTTTCTTTATTTTTAAATGTTCCCGTAAGTTTCCACAATTAGCATATTCTAGTATCGGCATAAAATTCTCTGTTTTCTCATCTATAATCAAAAATTATAATTAGAAAATGATATTATTTGGTATTCTGTACAATATTATGTTCTGCATTATTTTTCAACTTATGTCAATTATTCATTTACATTATACCGGTTAAAAAAAAATAATAAATAAAATAATATAAAATAAAATAAGAAGAAATGAATTTTCAAAAATGATTAAAAAATAAAATAAAATAAGATTGAAATAAAATAAAATAAAAATAAATAAAAAATATTGAAATAAAATAAAATAAAATAAAACAAAATTAAAAAATAAACTAAAAAAAAATTTGTTTAAATTTCATCGGATGTGAAATATGATTTTCATAAACTTAAAAAAATTTTAAAGTTAAAATTATCCTTAGGGTCAACGCTTAGATTAGGGTTAGGGTTTAGGGTTTTTTAAGGTGCTGAACGTTTTTACTTAGTCCGACACTAATTATTAAGATCGTTTTCTAGCAAAAGCATATTCGGTTAATTTGTGAGCGTTAAATCTTTTGACAAAAATCAATTATTTTGCATTAAAATATATTATAGTTGTTTGGTTTAAATCAGTATAGTATTTGGAATAAAAACAAACTGACATAATTAAGACCAATTTACGGCATGAATATGAATTTTAAATTTAAAAATAGTAGAAGGTCAAGTTAAAATTTTAGATTGCTTCACAATAATAAAAAAATTTTCTGTATATTGATTTTTTTTTAAAGATGACATGACAATAAAATTCTATACAAAAATTTATTGGAATCTTATTATCTTAAATAACAAATGCTGAATCAAACTACTAGACTATTTAAAGTCATAAAAATTATCAAACATGAGTATAAAAAAGAGAATTTGGCAGTACTTGTGAACCTTTGGTACGTAGAATTAATATATGTTTAATTTGCATTACAGTATATTCTTAATATGTTTGATAGGAAAGATTTTACAATTGCTTATTAATTTGTCAGAGAAAGATAGAATAATTAATATAGAAGTAACTGATTATATCATTATTATGATATTTGCTACTATACACACGACTTCACAAGTTATTTGGATGTTCTTTGATAAATTTATAAAATATCTTTATGGTCTATAATATTATGCCACACAAAGTTAATTTTTCGTTTTCATAACTCGCCGACCTAATTTTTCAAAAAAAGTTTTTTTTTCAAGTTCTAATTTTTCATCTATTCCATGTTTGCTATTTAATTTTTTTATAAATTTATCCGGTGTCAATGGTGACCTTAATTTTCCAGAATTATCTGACAGGTCAGATAAGAAAAAAAAATAAATCCCAATTTTCTGATTCCATGAATTTATTAATTTACAGTAGATTAAAAAAAAAACTCGCCCTACTGACTGGAATTTGGAATACCGGATAATACAAACCGAAAAATTAACTTTGTATGGCCTTATTTTTTTGACAAAGAATTTGGTGCCCATTGAAGTCATTACATGTCAACAAAATTAGATAGCTTTATAAGAGAACTTGAGATTCTGGTAACCAATCAGTAAAACCCCATTATTCTATTGTTAATGATTTATTACTTCATAATTTGTTATAACATTATGCATTAATTATATTTTATAATTTATAATCAAATAGGCAGAAATGTTTATATGTACACTGTTGAGATTCATGGCACTGATCCAAATATAAATACATTTGATGGCTTTCAATACGTTGAAAAAAATTGAAAAAATAAATCGCGCTTGGAAGAAAATTAATTGTCGCGGCTGATGCTGGAAATGGCTGAAGCTGGAAACTGGGGACCTTGATTTAAAAATATAAACTCTATAAAAATCCACTTGTACTCTTTTATTATTAAAACTACCTCTAAACCCTAACCTAACCCTAAAAAAAAAACCCTAACAATAGGCCCCAAAATTTTTTGAAAATTTCATATTAAAATAATTAAAATTTCCAGCATCAGCCATTTCCAGCTTCAGCCACGACATTAATTTAAATAAATATTTTTTTAATTTGTAAAGCCTAGTAAGTTATTTAAATTAAATTACTAGATGACTAGAAAAATTAAATTTTGTCTATAAATTTTATATAGTTTTGAAGCTTGTTTTTTTAGCAAAGACTTTATATTTTTTTTAAGTAAATTATTGAAAGAAGCCAAATAAAGTTACTTTAAATAATATTTTAAAATTTAGCAAAAATTATATATTTTGCAAATTTAAATTTATAAAAAAGAAAACTTTTCTAATAATAAACTTATATTTAAATATACAATTTCATACTAGAGGTTGGAACCGGTTTTAATAATTCGGGTTTATCACATGAGTTTTGTGATATTTTAGAATTTAATCCAATTAAATTTTAATAAATTCTAAAATATCATAAAATTCACATGATAAACCCAAATTATTAAAACCGGTTCCAACCTCTATTTCATACTGAACAGGTTTACTTAAAAAGCAAAAAAAGAATTTTTTAGTAAAAAAAAAAGTTTTGTATATATTAATATTAAAATTTTCAATTTTTTATAGATAACTTTTTTTTTTGTTTAAATAGTTTACTTTTGTTTCTTAAGTAAAGTTGTTTAGTATAAAATTTTATATTTATTTAATTTGCTAGTTTTTGATTTTTTTAATACTTTACTAAGTAAAAAATTGAGTTAAAATTAAATAAAAATTTTTTTTAAAAATTTTTTAAAAAAAATTTTTTGTATACTCAATTTTTTATTTAGTAAAATATTAAAGAAATTAAAAAATTAGTGAATTAAATAGATATAAAATTTTATATTAAACAACTTTATATAAAAGACAAGAGTAGATTATCTAAACAAAAAAAAAGTTATCTATAAAAAAATTAAAAATTTTAATATTAGTATATACTATACAAAACTTTTTTTTTTTACTAAAAAATTCTTTTTTTCCTTTCTAAATAAACCTGTTTAGTATAAAATTTTATATTTAAATATAAGTTTATTATTAGAAAAGTTTTTTTTTTATAAATTTAAATTTGCAAAATATATAATTTTTACTAAATTTTAAAATATTATTTTAAGTAATTTTATTTATTTATTTTTTTTTTGGTATTAAGGTGACCTCTACAGTCGGGGGCTTTTTATTAGATTATTAACTTCAGGTTACAATTACAACGAGGGTACATCAAGCTACATGTGTACTTTTGGTACCTAATTTAAGTAGTCTGCCTGGGTTCTACACTAGCTACCATAACTGCAATCTAACTAGGAGATTGCCTATTTAAGCTTTCTGGTTATTACTAACAAGAGTACAACTAGCCATATATGCAACTTTTGGTTGCCTATTTAAATAGTCTGCCCTAGGTTCTACACTAGCTGCCATATCTGCATTCTAACTATGGGGATATCCATTTAAACAGTATAGTGAATAATCCTTGTAGTACAAACCTTCCGAATTTGAAATTGGTGACTCAGAGTTGATCTGTCTAATAAAAGTATAAAATTTGTTGATTACATGAATTATTATAATTGGTTATATCGTGTATGTAATAATCAACCAATCAAATTTTATAATAACAAACAAATATTTTAAAAGATTTTATTTACTTGATTAAAGATATCTCACAAACAAATACTCAGAATTTGATGATTTTTATACCATTTGATTCGTCTTATTGAGACAAATCTAATGTTATAAAAATTATCAAATCCAACCCAGTATATTATAAAAATTTAACAATTATATAATCCCTACTTTTCTTATATCTATTTTAATAAAAATTTTGTTTTCGCATATATATATTCTTTCTAATTAATCTACTTGATAAATATATTCTTTTTAAATAACTTCTAAATTATTTTATTCTAGATTTAAAATTTCAATCATTAAAAATAAGTAAGTAAAATTTAATTTATAAAATTGATTTATTTATTT